TTTTTTTTTTTTTTTTTTTTTTTTTTTTTTTTTGCTTGCGATCTTGCTTACGTGGAGGAGGGCGTCGTGATGTTCATGGCGTCAGTGATCTGGTGCCCCTTCTTGGCTATGGTACCCGTCGTGCGCTGCACGACGCCCCTGACATGCTCCCTGACCCTGTACATCTGCTTGCCGCCTGGGGGCATCGGTCCCCTGAAATATCGGTACAACCACCACAGGCCGACTATCGCAGCCGCAGTCGCCGCCAGACCTCCACCGACAGTGAGGAAGAAGAGGACGACGGGAATCCATAGCGGTGAGGTGACCAGGATGAGCGGAGAGAAGAAAAGGAGGATGCCTCCCACGACGACGAGAGCTGGCAGACCGACAATCAGCAGGACCGGTGCCGCCAGCGCGGTAAAAACCCCTCCCATCGCCCCCAACACCAGTGCCCATCGCTTGTAACCCATGCTTTTTAAGCGTTGGAACAGGGTCTTCGCCTGTTCTGGCACCACCTCCTGACCCTTGGCCGCCACATCTGCCGCCTGTCGGGACATCTCCTGCGCCTTCTGGAGCGCCTGCTCCTTCAACTCCGACACCGACGTTTTCCTCTTTGCGGTGACGTCAACGAGTAGTTAAAGAGCGGTCCAGTCCTGAACCACCACACCCCTCTCCCCCTTTCCGGTGACGTCAACGCGTAGTCAAAGAGCGGACCAGTCCTGAACCACCACACCCCCCTCCCCCTTTCCGGTGACGTCAACGAGTACTCAAAGAGCGGACCAGTCCCCAACCACAACCCCCTCCCTCTTTCCGGTGACGTCAACGAGTACTCAAAGAGCGGACCAGTCCCCAACCACCGCACCCCCCTCCCTCTTTCCGGTGACGTCAACGAGTAGTCAAAGAGCGGACCAGTCCTGAACCACCACACCCCCCTCCCTCTTTCCGGTGACGTCAACGAGTAGTCAAGCGGACAACTGGGACAAGTCCTGAACCGCACCCCCCTCAACCGTGCTGTAAATCACCCTCCTCCTCTACCACGATCACGCAGGTAGCACTTTTTTTGACACCCGGCTCCTGACGAGAATGTATCCGAGGAGCGGAGCCGCAGCTAGCCTCAACTCCGAAGCCAGGCTAGCTATGGCTGCTCGGGCAACCTCTCACTTTCATCAGCGCTGTCCACAGTCCAGTCAGCCAATTTGAAACTCCTCCGTTCGTCAAAATGAGAAAGCACAATGCCACAAGCTGCCTTTCTCGCTCTCCCAAATTCCTCCGTCCTGACAAGATTACAATGAAGAATCTCTCTCTCTCTCTCTCTCTCTCTCTCTCTCTCTCTCTCTCTCTCTCTCTCTCTCTCTCTCTCTCTGTGTGTGTGTGTGTGTGTGTGTCTGTCTCTCGGTCGCTCGCTCGCTCGCTCGTTCGCTCGTTCTCTTGCGCGCTGTCTCGCATGATCTCCTTGTGCATGTGCTGAGCCTTCGTGCTCGTTTTACTCATGTTCCTTCTCTCGGATTGGCTAGCTTCATCAGCTTCCCTCTCTCTTACCCCGCTCTCCCCGCCCCTCCTCCGAAACCTCAATTCCTCGTATCATGAAGCGCGCTGACCAGTTTCCCCCCGTTTTGACCCTCGCCCCCCTCCCCCGACCTTACTTCCTCCCCCCCCCCCACGGTGGCACCGTTATGTCTTGTCAAGTGAGACATTTTGCAGCAGATAACCAGGCTGCCTAGATCTGCCTGTCATGAATCTGGCCATAATCTTCGTCACAGTGCTTCAAGTTTGCAATCGACGGCGAACAACCACCGCAGCACCAAGGGGGCAAAGGAAAAAAAAAAGAAACGGAGCGTCGCTATGCTGCCGTTTCTTTCTTTTTTAATTTTTTTTTTGTTTCCGGGTCCGTTTTGTTTTTCGGTTGGTTGAAGTTCTTTTTTTCTTTTTTCTTTCTTTTTTTTGTGCAGCCGATATGGTAGAGACTGTAGAGGGGGATATCCAAGACTTATTTTGGTGGCCGATGAGAATCCTGACCTGATCTGAATCTGGCCGTCATCGTCGTTCAAAGTGCTTCTCCCTGAGTGCGAGCTTCCCAAACGAATAGGCGGGTGCTGAGGTCGATGTCATTTCATTTCGAACACGGTTGACGTCAACCGATAACTGCTCACCGTTACTTTTTTTTTTTTTTTTTTTTTTTTTTTTTTTTTTT